ACACACACACACACACACACACACACTGTACCAGCCAAGTGCAGCAGGACAAACAGCTGTACCGTGTGGACGAGGGGGTTGCCACGACAACCAGAACAACACAATGCTGTAATGCTAATGAACCGTCCTGAAATGACTTTAAGTCCGAGGACATAAATTTGAATTTGGTGCTGGTTTTCTTACTCTGCTGTTGTTGACACATCAAAGCATTTTCTCATTAATAGGTTTCTGTTTTCTGTTACAAAAATGTTTGTAATTGTTTTTCTGGTGTCCAGATCATTTCATTTGTCTCCAGCTGCTCAGATATCCTGAACTCACCGAAGCCCTCTGCCTCGTCGAACGACTTATAGACCGTCTCGCAGCTTGTGCCGTCGCCCAGGCAAACCCCACAGCGGTCCTCCACTGCGTTCGAGTCGATGCCACAGTCACAGCCGACGTCCTGCAGACAAAACACACGCCCACAAACACATAAAAACGCAACCACAGACACATTACAGCGAATCGTAAGATGGAGGGTTTGCACAGAACATCTCCTCCTCCCTCTCTCACACTGCATCTCGCCTCGCACCCTGCTCCGCTACAACCCCTCCAGCCTCCTTTAGTCTCTTACCCAGCCACACTACCTTGCACACTCCGTTGACACAGATGTTTCTGGACTTGTTGTTCATGAAGCACGTCGTTCCGTCCGTCACAGCGTCGAGCATCTTCTCCGAGAAATAATCATTGACTGGTCGGCAGTGCAGCTCGCAGGGGTTCACTGGAGACAGTCGTGAGATGAATAGAAGAAAAGAAGAATATCGATGTTGAACTCAGATTAATAGTGCAAGTTAATTTCAAGTCAAGTCAAACTGTCTTTCTGATGCCTATTATTGTTTGATTCTTTTTCACACACAACCCTGAAGAAATTATTTATTTTGTTACAGAATATATAAAAGTGATTGGAAAAGAGTTAAAACAGCAGCTGCAGCACTGAAATGTTTTAGGCCCCACCACAACCTTTTCAGTGGAAATGCTACCCCCTGTTGGCTGACAGATACAACTGCACCTACTGAGCTTATGGAAAGAGAAGAGCAAAAAGACGCCTCCCAGCATCTCTGTGTGTTTGTCTATCCGCAGGATCTGATGACAGTCCGAGGCTTTGAGCACTTACAGGGGTTGGCCACAGGAATCCACTGGTAGAGCTCGTTGTTGTAGGCCACGGTGTCAAACTCACTGCACTGCATCTCCCGAAAGGTCGGTTTGTCCTTCTGGCAGGGTTTTGTGTTACACGTCCGATAACGCTTCCTTTCTCCGGTACAGTACTTTCCTCCAAACTCTGGCCTGCGGAAAACAGTGGGACACTTTGAATCACTCAGGGTGAACACTTTTGTTTCAGGTAGTCTTTTTTAAAAGAGACAGCAAAAGACAAAAAGAGGTCGGCTGTGCCTCATGATGTGAAACACATCTAGAACTAGAATGTTACTGCACATAATGCCACCATAGCCCAACAGTATCATTAAATTCAATTAAGATGCATCAAATTTAACCCAGTCATAGACATCAGGGCCCTAAAAGTTTGTCAGATTTTTCTTTTATCAAGAGATTTAATCCCTAGGTAACCAGTGAAAATGTTGAAAAACACCCTGTATCTTAATGTTAATGATTTGGATCTGCACCTAAATTTAATGGTTCTCTGACCCATACCGCATCCATCTACTCAAATTCAGGAAAAATCTTTATGCTTTATGTATGTTATCCTGTAATTTATGTAATCTTGCTGATAAACATCCAAACCAACCAACTAACAGACGGACTGGGGTGAAAACGCAACCTCCTCTGCAGAGGTAAGAAGTTCTTACTTGGGGCTGTTACATTCCCTCTCCGCTGACTGAACCCCTGTCCCGCAGGTCCTGGAGCAGTGAGACCAGGTACTCCACTGTCCCCAGCCTCCGTTCACAGTCTCTGGGAGTTTTCCCACGATCACACACTCTCCGGAGATACACCACTGAAGAAGAAAATAACAAAAGCAATGGGACACATTCGATAGTCAAGATTTTCCTTCCCCAGGCAAATGAACCACAAACCCTAACAAGACTAATCAAAGGGAATCATTCACCTTCTCTGGTCCGCAGCGGGTGCCGTCTATGGGCGAGTCCAGTTTGGAGCGACAGGAGCCGTTCACTGAACACCAGAGAATCTGGCAAACGTTCTGAAGTAGACACACAACCCTGAAGCAGTTAAAAAGAGTTTTCTAAATGACATTTATTTGGTGCTTATGGGTGATACTCACATCCACCTCAGGGCAGAACGTAGCATTGGGGCCATATTGGAGCTGGCACTGGTGGTGCGTAGTGTAGCGGACGCCGAGGCGAGCCAGCGGCGTGGTTAGATCCCTCTTGGAAGGACGATCGTCCAGACAGAAACCCCATCCACGACTGAGACAGACAAACATACACGTGTGAAGTTTTGGAGAAGATGAAAAAGAGGAAGGGGCGCAAGGTGGTGCAGACAGAAAGAGGAACGAAAAAACTAAAGGAGCTTGTTTGAGAGAAATCATTGATTATGGTAAGAAATATTTAAAAAATTGTACAAACTTCATGTAAAACACACACAGTTTGTTTTTAGGCTGCACTTTGCTGCATACCAGCCCAGTTTTAAAAAGGGTGTGATAGAAAAACACCAGGAAAGATTACGTGTTCAGAAGCCTCTATTCTAATAGCTTGCTGATTCTCAGGTCAGAGTTCAACAAACATGAGCTCTGACCTCTGACCTCGCAGGAGCTCGAGGTGATGCAGTTCACACAAAGGAATTCATCAATTCATCACCGACACAGTTTGCAACAGAAAATAATAAGAAAAGCAATCGGGACTTATGAAGCTGTAAACACATTCTAATGCTGCTTTTCTGCCGCTTCAGCTTTTATTGCATGTTCGTTCTTTGCTGCTCCTTTAAAAGCTTAGCATGTCACGGTTTGCTGCACATGTTAATACAACTTTAATTTGTTCCAACACACACACACACCGCCCTTTTTGTTTCTGGACCATTTTCACTGCATCCAATCACATCTGCAAAAACATATTACATTTTCCTATTTTCTCCAACAGTGCTAAAGCTGGGGTGACTCAAGTTGTCTGTTTTATATGAATATAAAAATTAACGGCTGCAGAATAATTAAATACCAATTCAACCTTACTCGAGGAAGCGGGTGATGTATTCTTTGGAGCAGGAAGACCAAGTGAGTGGCGAGCTGTCGTACATCAGCTGTCTGGACATGATGAAGGGGTGCCTCCCTGCCAACTCGCAGTCATTTCCCTGGCCGTCATGATGGATTCCAAAGCTGTGTTCAAACAAAACCATTATTGTACCATCATTACACAAAGAAGTGTGCAACACACGCAAGCAATACATTTGTTTCCACCAATAAAACAGGCCCAGAGTACAGTTGAGCATGTATTTACAGGATTTCCTGTTCGTACAAAGCGGAAACTATGTGCACAAGGAATACTTTATAAGGAATATTAGTAAAATTATAGTCCTTATAATCATGTGTAAAATAAAAACAGCATCTACACTAACTCTCATCTTATCAACAAGACTTCATATTTGTAAAGTGACACAGAAGCTACAAAAATCACTGTGGTAGAAAAACAAAAATCTGATTTTTATTTAAAGTAATTCAAAGCTGAAAAATAATGATATCTTCCCATTCACTTCACTGTTACAAAATCTTCTACACAACAATCTCGGGTATCAATCTTTTTTTTTATGTCCGGTCACTAGATAGTGGCAATTATTTGCATTCAGCCGTTTCACCGATGGACTCACACGCTAATGCCAGGAGGTTAATGATGCAACTGTATCTTCCTCTATAGCAACTGATCATGGGAACAGGATGCTTTCTTTGTTACGTGACCCATTGTTATAAGATCATATGATGCAGGGTATTACACCTCACACCTCACATCTCACACACACACACACACACACACAGACCTGTGGCCCATTTCATGAGCGACGGTGAAAGCGACAGGTAGTCCTGAGTCCTCATTGATATTGCAGCTGCGGTGAGGCTGACACATCCCAGACAGATGAGACAGACCCAGGGTCTCACAGGGCTGGTTCATCCCAGCACAGATGTCTTTCCTGAGGGGGGAACACAAATGCAAATTAGTGTGCACATGCCATATATTTTCTACTGACATAGACGGCCTCCACCTGATTGTGTGCGTGTGACTTGCCTGGTGACCAGCACAGCCACGTCATGGTGAGCTGGGTGTGTGTCACTCTGAGGGTTGAGGTTTTTCTGCCAAGCACAGAAACTGGCCAGAGTGGTGTCTGCATGGTGCACAATCTTCAACCCTTTCTGCAACACACAACAGAAACAGAAAACTCATTCTGCACATTTCTGGCAACATTCAGATCAGTACAGGTGTAAATTACAGCCACAGTGACAGACCAGACATTCAGCAGATATTCAGACTTGTTGTTAATGATGGATCAGTGGAATCAATGTGAGCCACAATCCTACCTCACCTGACTGGAATGCTGTTGTTTTAAATGTTTTCAGTTACATGCAATTTCTTAAGTTTACATATTGCAAATTGTTCTGTAATGTGATCGGGGGATTTTAAAATGCAAACAAGATTTTGATCTTGTGGTTCTTTTGGACTGTCCAATGGTTTCTTATTTGCCACACGAAAAGCCTACAAACTTTAAACAACAGATTGAAACAACATCATCGAAGGGGATGGAATCGTCAGTGTAAAGAGCTGCAGCCAGCTACAGGAGAGTGTCACTGTTTTCTTTATATCCTTGCCGCCCTTTATTAAGAATGCTTCATAGATGTACATGTGTGTCTTTTATTTTATACTTAAAGTTTGCACTGTCAAAGCAAAAACTGATAAAAACTCCATTGAAATGTATGCAAAGACGTGTTCCAGGTAAGCGTTACCTCTTCTCCCTGTAACAAAATGAGGCGCACCAGGATGACATGGATGGCATTCCCAATACTGGCATCATGAAAGATTCCTGCCACCTGTAAACATATAAAAGTCAGTGAGAAACCAAGAATGAATGAGAGCAAATGTACGAAAATAAAAATAATAAGTGTCAGTTCTAACCCCTGACCATGTTCATGATGGTGAAGATGTAGGACTCGACATTATCGCTGCCGTGATATTCGATGAGTTTGGAGTCGGCCACCACCATGGTCTCCACCCAACGCTCTCTGCTGACCGAGCGCTGGGAGCGAGACTGAGCATGACCCTCCCCCCTCTGCTGCTCCCTCTCCCACTCCTCCCGCTCCCTCTCCACCTGGACAGAGTCACTTGGAGCATCTAAAGCATGGAGAATGGGAGACATCACTTGGCGTACACTGGTGGCTTATCCTCACTTGACACAGGCACAGACAGAGGAAAAGATACGCTCACTTGTGTAAAACTACACAAACACCAGTGCATTGAGATACACACCTTGAACTCCACACGCGCTGGGTGTGTCCCTAGACTCTGAGCTGCGTTTTTTTCTGTGATTTTCTGTAGGAACTCTGGGATAGACAAGGTGGGGCTCTGGAGTCCCTGCAGGATCTTCAACAGATTTCTGGGCAGGTTCGATAAAATATTGTCCCTCTGGCAGCGAGAACAAGCCTCTCTGAGGAAGACAGAAATGACAGGGATCAATGTGCATGGAGCAGAAATGGTTGAGACTGGTGAAACAACAAATGATGAAATCTAAAAAACATTTCAAATCTACAGTGTTTCAGTGATTAGTGAAATAAAATTATACTTAATCACAGTCACCAATTTGTAATTAAGATTAAAACAATTACTTCTTGTGCCAAAATCATACCTAATGCAGCTTCAAGTCTCTCTAGCGATATATCACACATTCTCAGACTGTGACCGAACCACTGATGTTAAGTTATATTATTTATGAGTGTAACAACAAATCAACGATAATTGCAGTGTTTCCATAATCCCCCCCACTTGAAAGAGGAAAGTATAGACGGCGTTCCCTCGTAAAAAAAGGGCTGAAAAGGTCATTCCTCAGTAATTTCCATCGGGGTGGAATCCATCTTTTAGTCAACAGATCTGAATATGAACCTTTCTCTTTCCTTCAGGCACATTCTCCGTCTGCAGCAGCAGCAGCAGCAGGAGCAGCAATACAAATACTCCTAAGTATGCCATGCATGTTCTTACAGGTGCAGGCTACTGACTTTCCTGACTGAGGTCCTCTGGTGAACACACACATAGACACATGTCCTCACATACATGCACTGTAAATTTATACATACATAAAACATGCAAGACAGGGCTCTGTCAATTCCAGGACTTTTTTCTCTCTTGTAAACACACAATATGAATGTTCCAGCTCCAGCTCACTGTTTGCAATTTCTCTTCATCAAGGTGATAGTGTGTGTGCGTGTGTGCATGTGTGTGCGCATGCTCAGGTTTTGTGTCAAACTGAGTCCAAACATGTCCCAGACTGTTCGGGGATGAACCCCTCCCTTCCTCCCTCCCTCCCACCCTTCCTATAACTATCTAGAGAATGAGGATGCATAAATGGTTCCAGAGCCAAACAGATGGAAAGAGGAAAGTCTGCATAAGTACAACTGAGGACAGACAAAAAAAATATTTAGCAGGAATGTTGGATGTTATAATATTCATGCACAAGAAGAAATATGTCCTGGTGATAACACACAACGGAAAAAAATAAATCACTTAACATGCACATGTCTAAAGCCAGCAAGAAGAATTATTATGATATGTGTTGCATCTTATTCTTTGGATTTTTTTCTCGGTGTCTGAGGAGCCAGAGGCAGATGTGAAAAATTAGGTCATGCAGTGCTCACTGTTTGGGCCAGTTGCGGTTCCAGGGGTCTACCCAAATATTCACTGTAGCTACACACTGCTCAGATTTCTGGGTCATCCTGACAAGGTTTACATGTGTTTCTTGGAAGGGAAGATATTCTGCAACCGCATTCATTCAGCTGTCTGCAGAGCTCTGATGGGGTGTCCCGTTCCTCCATTCAGGGAGTTCACAAAGCACAAAGCTGTTTGCAGTTCCTTTTTAAAGACTATGTTACTCCACCTGTTGCAAAGAATCTTGTAAAAAAAAAAAAGATAAGAGTGTCTACAAACTGCAACAGAACCTTTGCAAGACACAACTGAGCTGCTGCTGTTTGTCCATGTAAAACCACCATAACACCAACATTAACAGTGCAATAGCTACACTGAGATCCTCTGTATATATCTCAAGTTTTGTTGTCTTTGTCCAAACTCAGGATTAGATTAAATATTGAGAAAGGGTACTGAGTCAGAACGTGGCCTTCAGCCAGAGGTCCCAGAGTTGTGGTGGACTCACACACACAAAGCATGCAAACTGATACGTCTACGTTCAGCTGGGAAAGTCTCCCACAAACCCTTCTCAGAAAACACACAGCTGATTTCACTGTCGCTCCATATGTCATCCACACACACACACAGATACACACACACACACACACAACTGGAAAGGATTAATATCGTATCAGATAAAGATTTGTCTTTTTTCATTTGCATCAACTCTCTGCAAGATATGAAATGTATATGGGCGAAGATTTTGCTCTGATTTATTCTCTGTTCTCATTCCTCCCTGTTGTCCCGTATAAGTACGAGTGTTAAACTTCCAAGTGAGTCCCAGCAGAGAAAAGCAGGTGGTGGAGTGCAGATCAACCAGGAAGGAATGCTGCAGAGAGGCCCATCCAAACATGCAGACCACTGCACTCCATGATCTTTATGATCTGCGTACCAAATGCAGCCGGTGAGGCTCTGCTTGAATGGTGTGGTTATGGTTTTACTCGTGATCCTTAAATTACCACGTATCCTACAGATCCTGTGTAACGTCTGTGCTCAATAAACAAAGAAGACTTGAAAGAATACCAACCAGGAATTTGTTTCCCACTTGAACAAAAATAAGAGATTATTCTGGCGAAGGGTTTTACTCTAAATCCCGAAACAGCCTCAGACTGGAGTTCACGTTGCACTTTCGCCACCTCTCCTCCCTCTCACACCTCCTGCCCACCTCCTCCTCTGCATTAATCCCCCTCCTCTGACCTAGAGGAAGCGTGTTTGGGTGTGAGGTGCCAGAGCCAGGGGAGGTTTCCATAACACAGGTCTGTGTTTTAAATACGTTGTCCATGTGGAACTGCTTTACCTCTGTTTCCTGCTTCTGTGGATTTTGTAGTGCTGGCACACTGGGCTTTGAATAAAGTCTCTGCCATAATACAGCCAGTGGCCTCAGCAGTGATTAGTGGGAGAGGAGGAGAGGTGGGGGTGGTTGGTGCTTAATATGATTCAAACAAACATGTATTCTTTGATAACAGTTCCTTAATAATTACTGGTTTCACTGCACTAACTTCAGTTTTTTCCCCCGGGGGCTCAATTCTTCCACAGAGGTCAAAAACATCATCGTTTTTCATCTGCAGAGTGAGAAGAAACCTGCGTCTAAGTGAGGAAAATACCAAAATAATGGGTTTGAACTTGCATGTTCTTGCTTTGTGTTTTACCTTGGGGATTACCAAAGACTCCAGTGAGAAGATTTCGCTTTGCTTGATTTGGAAGTTTTCCCACAGAAAGATGAAAGGACAAAGATTCATGTGTGTTCAGTAGACAAAGTGAAGGGCAGTGGAGACATATTGAAAGGTAAATATAGTATAGCTGCAGAGGTGTGACGTTATCATGACTGGTTCTAAAGGTGTTGATGTCGTAGGAGGGACCACCATTTGGTTTTTACAGCATTTTGAAAACCATGATTCGGCTCCATTGCCTGTTCTGTGCAAAGTAGAGCTGCAACAATTAAACAATCCCTCAGGCGATCAACAGAAAATGAATTACAATTTATTTTGAATACCAATTAAAGTCATTTATCAGACCAGATTTTCAAAAGGCTCCAGCTCCTGCGTTAGTTCTTCCTTATTTTGTTAAACCCATCAACTTAAATTGCTCTTAACTCCGGAGATGACAGACCGGGCTCTAGCATATCTTCGCAGTGTGGATTTATAATTATTTGAAAAATGGGCTAAAGCACTATTGGAACTCATCTACTACAATAATTGACATCTGAAAATGAGAAATCACTGCTGGTTTATATTTTAAAAAAACAACCAATTTGTATAAAGCCTTGATAAACATTTGCCACATACCTTCCTGCTTATTTAGCCCTTATCAACATCTGTTTTATTCTAAATAAACAAAGGATGATCATGTTTTCTCATATTTTGAGGTTGAATGACCTCAGTAACAGCTCGCAGGGTTTTCCTCTCTACAGCTGTCGGGCTGACTCTTGCCGTTCGGTGGTTCCTCTGTGGCTTTAGCTGCTGTAAACCTCAGAGCTGCAAATCAGTGTAATGGGTCCTAGTGGTTTCCCTGGTGAGCTGGAGAGAAGGGACAAACTGGGGCAGTCAGGCATACGCAGGAAAAACAATCCTCTAAATGCTGCAGGTTGCAGATGAGTGAACTTCTGAATCACATTCTTCTACTGAGGATTACTTAAGAGGATGTATAGTAGGTCAGATATAAATGATTATGGTGCAGATATCAGTGTCTTCATCGACCAGTTGTTCTTAGTCAGATTTGTCAAATGAGCTGCGTTTAAAAGATTCAGTGGGAGGAGGCAGTGCAGCCCAAACTAACATCACAGAGAAGCAGGAGGCAAGACCCTGCAGGACGGGTTTTCCTGCTGCGACAAAATCAAACACCAACACCGAAACATTCTTCATGACTAAAACTGACACATCCCATCATCTCAGAGGCCCAAAGCTCCTCCTTTGCCACATCCTCTTGCTATTTCGTTGTTAGGGTTAGGGATCATACTGCTGAAAATCTAACTCATCATCAGGTAGTTTTTTAAGTGATTATTATTTGGTGAGTAAAGAAAAGTCAGAGACTCTCTTTTGCTTCTTCTTCTCTAGAAACTTCCATATGGTACATGTGTGTTTTCATAATTAAAATTATGCTGTCCAGCTGTCTTCTTTTCTTTTGTAGTTTTAGTACATATTTGATAAGAATCATTAAAGCCAATGTTTTTAAAAAATGGCTGTGATAATTTCCTGTGTCTCCATCTGCCAAAAATCATTATGTGCCCAAATCGCTCACTGAAGCTCTATATAGTAGAGATCAAAGCAACAAGTCCAAGGGTATGGGATGGTTTGCAACGACTTTCTGCAGAACAGAGAGAGCAGTGAATGAATCTGAAGGACAGAGAAAAGAAAAGAGAAGGGTTCTGATGGTCGGCTGAAAAGCAGCAGCCGTCAGTGGGTCTGCGGCACAGGCGTTCAGCAAATAGTGTCAGGAAGTCCTGGAAGGGCAAACTAACAGACAGGGCACTGTCAGATGTAAGGCTTTGCTCAACAGCCTGTGACTGCCGACAGCACATACCAGCTTCCCCACAGTGATGCCCCCTCTCTCCTTCCTGCCTGAAGCTACTATGTTTTTCAAAGATGTGACCTTTAGGCAGAAATGAGCAGTAAAGGGCTCTTTCCTCTTGTAACCACGTAACACAATGTGATTCCTTACCAGTCCATTACAGGTGCTGATGGCAGCAGTTCCTCTCACATCAGATGTTTTCACGGTGCCAAGGAGGTGGCAGGAATTCCCCCCAGAGGGACGATGCTCAGTCCTGTTGGAGCTGCCGTTCCTCCTCTCCAGGACGTAGTCATTTGAAAGCAGGTTAGTGTTCGCAGTCAAATTGAACAATAAAGCTCGACCCCTGTAGTTGACCTTATAGTAAACCTGTTCCTCCGAGGCGAGGGGTCGCAGGTCACGTCTGACTCTTCCACCCTGGAAGTGGTGAGACAGTGAGTGGGTGATGAACTCTCCATGAGCATCGGTTTTCTCTGGGTGGACGATGGACACATCTGACTCTGACTGGAACAAATGACCTGCAGGATATAGAGGTGGAAACAATGCAATGCAATAAGAGTCACTGCAGTTATGATGGTTATGGATTAAACTGATTTTTACCAACAGAGCACAGTCAGGTTGACATGCACCAAATCATACAAACATTTCCAGTCATGCATTTCTATTCAGGCATGCACAGTTACACGCAGAGAAACATGTATAGACACATGAACAGAAACATGCACAGACACATGCACAGATTCATGCACAGACACATGCAGATTCAAACACAGAAACGCAGCCTCTGGTCCAGCTGCACCACTCTGACCTTGCTCTGCAAAGAGGGAGAGGAGGGTGCCAGGGTCGGGGAGCTCTTCGTGGCCGGATGCCAAAATGAAAACAAAGTGCAGCAGCAGAAAAGGAACCGGGCGCTCCTGCGAACATCGCATATTTCATGTGACCAAACTCAAAGCGCTGGGAAAGGGTCCTGGACCGTGGAGCTCCAGTGGCGTGAGAGGCGACCACTTGGATCCCGCGCTGCGCTGTGTCATGACACGAACACGCTCAGAAATGTCCACTCACGAAGAGAAACACGTACCGAGGAGGACTGAGAGCAAGACCGTAGTTTAACAGGAGAGGGAGAGAAAGCTGAGGAGGAGGAGGAGGAGGAGGAGGAGGAGGAGGAGTGTTCTCTGGGCCAGCGGCTCCTCTTCCTCAGGGGTGAGGGGGAGCAGACGCTTCATTGATTTGAATGAGCTGCTGTGTCGAGACTTGTCATCTGATGCTGAGTGTGAGATAATTTACTGCCTCTCTCACAAGAAAGGGAAAACTACCTGGAGTCACTTAATAAGAATGAAAAAGCAAATCTATAATGACTTTAACTCGACAGTTTTCAAATAGTCCTATTGTCCATCTTCAAAATGAGATTTGATACCTGCACTAAAAAAATACAAAACATACAAATAAAAATCATAATCATAAAATCATAACATTTCCATGATTCAATTAGTTATTTATCGACAAAAACATCAAACTTTCTTAGTTTCCAGATTCTCCAAAAAATCTTTTTTCTATAATTTGCTGCTTTAACTTCTCTTACATTGTGTGATTTGGGGTTTTGGACCGTCAGGTGTTTGGTAACATCTATACAGATTTCTGAAGAAGATCGCGTCAAACAATAGACAAATTCTCTGCAAACACATGCTTTCTGTAGTTTTGTAGAAATATTTCTTTAAACACCGACTTCTATATTGACTTCTTTATTTGCTAAAATGTATAAAATAATGCAGGATTTGTGAAATGGATGTCAAGAATATCTTCATGCAAATTCAAAGATTTCTATTCTTCCACCTTCTGTTGAATGGAAATCCACAAGAGATATTATATATAGATATGATGCTTGTGGAGTAAATCTCTGTAAGACATTATTTTAAAAGTCCTTGTGAACCGTGTCATACTGTAGCTCAGGGTAAAACTCAACACAACCTTTGAAATCTATCTGACTCTCCTCTGCATGAGTATGAAAGAAGTCTATAAATAGAAATGAGTGGTTATGGACCTTCCACATACTTATCATCTGCAGTGTTTTCCAAAGATTGGTCAAAATGACCCAAATGTGAGTCAACGAGGCCAGCAGGGAAAAACTTTTTATTAGTAGAGAGTATAGGTCATTTTGGAAAATGTAGGACCCAGCTAAAAATAACCCTGGATAGCCCACAGTTCCACACAGATTATGACACTGGAGCCCTGAGTTGATCTCAGTCAGCTCTAACCTCTCCCTGCCCAGTGAGAGAAAACAACACTAACAGCACTAATGGGCCACCGTGAGGTGTTCTCCCCTGAAAGGACCCAATAAAACAGAGAGCAGTGAGCTCTTTGTGTCGAGACTTTAGGTTATTTGAGAAGTAACAAGCCAGGCCTTACTGGAACGGACACACCCTAACATTAAAGGATAAATAGTGTGGTTTGCTCCACATCTGGAAGGTCTGCCTCATATAACATGACGGGGCAATTTGTCTGAATTATTTTGAACAACGGATGAAGATGTAACACTTCACAGCTCAATGATCACAAACCTTTGGACAAGTGGAAAGATTTTAGACGTGAATTTCATCAACATATGGCGTACATATATTTCCTGTATGTTACTGTGGCAGACAAACAGTTTTATATTGAAAAGGATCTCTCTGGATTGTGTTCGATCCTAGAATTAGTCATTTCGTCTTACTCAGAGACATTTTTACCCAAACTGCCCCCCCTGAAGTAATGTGCAGCAGACTGTGAAATGTCTCAACCTGGGAAATAATCAGGATCTTTTGTTAGTCTTAGGTGAGAGAGAGGGGATTTAACACGCAGAGATTGTGGCTGCATTCCTCATAAAGGCTTCCTTGTGTTGGTGACTGATGTGTCTGAGAGGTTTGTGGTTTTTTATTACAGTAGAGGGACTGTTTCCCAAAATGCATCAATTTCAGGTCGACGTTGTTATCAGCCGTGTCAGTGATGGATGCTGTCAGAGGCTCAAACCAAAAGAGGAAATTAGAAATCATGACTACTAACATCTTATTGGGAGTTACACTGATAACAAAAAATAACAAATTATAATAAGACTTAATAAGACTGACTGGAGTTAAATACCAGACTAACAACCAGACTCACTGATGTTTCTATAGGACTTGTTGTCAATCCTCAAAAGTTACACTGCACATTTCAATGTTTTTAGTATTTTTTTATTATTTTTTATTAAGCTGACTCTTCTTATATGAGGCTCTTTCTATTTGGTCATGTTTCTTCAAGTCCAAGTCCAACACCTTTCATGGTATTGTTGAACACTAAATTATACAAAAATTAAAACTCAAAACTCAGTTTGGTGCAGAGGAAGAAGCTCGTCTGAGGAGGATCAGGTCTTTAATAGTTTATCTGAGATGCATTGGCCATCTGCCTCCTGCATTTCTTTTATGAAAGGTTTCATACAAATAAATAGATTATTTATTAAGAGTTTAGTTTAGAGTTAATCCACTATGATCCAGTCTGCTTGGAAGAAGTGGAGGAAAGTCCAGTATTTACATATTATGCTTCAACAGGAAGTCATCTAACAATATAAACAAGTTTGATCTAATTTCATGGGTCTCCCTGCAGAGCACATGTATGTTTGCTCGGCAGAATCAAACCAGCGTTGTCCCACTGGAATCCACCACAGGTCCACTTGTCTCTGTCTGCAGGGGGCGCTGTTGCACGCAGCTGAGTGAACTTTGTTCCAGTGGTGAATGAGTTGTTTGCTCTCCAGATCCTCACAGTTATTCTTCAGGAAGTGAAGACATGGACTGACGCTGACAGGTAACATGAGCTCCGGTCACTGGGAAACTCTGTCGCTGCAGACTTTTTAAAGAAAAGACTGAAAGAAATAACGCGGATCTCTTTCAGTTTAAGTCAAGATTATCACAGTGATAAGTTTGTTTATGGATTTGTTTATGTTGAAGGGAAGACACTTGATACTGATCTTGTGTCAGCGTGTGTGTGTTCCTGTGCTTTTAAGCATAGACCCATAGGGTTAGAATTAAGTTTAGGTGTGTGTGTGTGTGTGTGTGTGTGTGTGAGTGTGTGTGTGTGTGTGTGTGTGTGTGTTTTGACACTTTCCTACTGATTCAATCAACTGCAACGCTCTTTTGATATACGATTTGGGCCTCCCCACCTGCAGGACGACCTCACCTGAGCCTCTGGGCTGCCCTCACACCCCTACACATACCTCAGACCTCAGGGAACAAGGTGGAGATGGAGGACTTCTGGGCCGGGGCCCTCTGGGCACTGAAGATCTGGCTGTACCTCATCGTCAGCCTCATCATGATCCCAGCCATGTTTGGCTTCTCGCTGGGCATCTCCGAAACGTACATGACCGTTCTGGTCAAAACCTTAGAGGTACCGTCCACTGTGCAGCTTTATGTAAATATTGTGTCCAGATCTGACCTGACCACGAATGTCTCTGTGTCTGTCCTCGTCCACAGTGGGCCACTCGGAAGATACAGAAGGCAAACGCAGAGGAGCAGACACTGCAGGCCTCTGCATCTAACAGTGAGAAGAATATTTATACTTGAGAATACTTAGATGGCTGTGGCTCGGGAGGTAGAGAGGATCGTCCCTACACTGAGGTCGTGGTGCGATCCCTGGCTCCCCCAGTCCACAGGCAAATGTGTCCCTAATTATTGTGTATAAAGTGTATGAATGGTGTGTGAATGGGATTTGTACTACATGCCTGGATGTTCAGATAGATAGATAGAGAGAAAGAAAGAAAGACAGAAAGATAGATAGATAGATAGATAGATAGATAGATAGATAGATAGATAGATGGGGTCTCTTCTAAAGTATATTAGTAATTCCCTTTATTGTGAAAGATTGGCATTTAGTGACAGTTATGTGTTAAGCTGCAATACTGGATTTCATAAGATATTTTATGACAAGTCTGGGCAGGCATGTTGCAATGATATTGGCAAAGTGAAATTGATCTACATGTGGAGTGAATGAGGCTTTTCTGCACACAGAAAAATGGAAACAGGATGAAAACCCTGTGACTTGACACAGAGAGTTGAAATGGTTTTTATCTTATTCTTCTAAATGTGATCTTGTAAGTGAGTGAGAAGTTTTTTACAGTCAGCAACGAGGTGTAGCTGCTATGCAAACTCTGCATATCTCAAGATGCAATTACACAACTTTTTATCAGTCGTTAAGCACCGCAGGGTTGGATTTCATGCTGTAACACAAAACAATGCATGCTAGATAAAGAAGACAGTTTATGCAAAGTCCAACTTACGTCAGCGTTACCTTTTTTAAATGTGCAGGATGAACAATTGAAGTTTAGTGACACACAAGTTACAGGACTTTGTTCAGAAATTTTTCTTCTGAATATTGAATGCAGGTTTTGGACTTTGCCCTCTGAGTTATCTGATAATGTGGAGTCTAACTCTGAACTGTTCTGAGAGCTGTTATATGTGGATAGTGTTTGAAGCCAGGTGTGGCAGCCTTCCTGACTTCACGCTGCTCTCTGAACAGCTCAGCTCTTGTCTTATTGATGTGTATTTCAGGTCACAGGGTTAAATGTTTGGATGAGTTGATATATTCTGTTGGTTCATGGAACGTTTCTGCTATAATTAGAACTCGTAAAGACTTATCCCGTCATCTGGTCTCTTATCAGTGCCAGTACTTCATGATACATGCAGAGCTCTTGTCCTTTTTAAAAACTCACCCCTGCATTCCCGAAAGAACTTCCCCTTCTAACACCTCTGATATGACAATATATTACTTTCTGGATTGCTTTGAAGATAGTGATTCTTATCAGATGATTGAGTCTGAGTGTGTTGCTCTGTGTGTATATCAGGTCTCATCCAGAGGGAAGATGGCTCCATGGAGAAAGAGTTAGAGGAACTCCGACGCAGTCGCCCCAAACCCCCAGTGGGAGGTGATTTTACACTAAGCGACTGTTTTTATTTCACCCGAAGAGGCATTGAGAGCATTGTAGAGGACGAGGTAAAGTTTTACTTCATTAGCAAGAACACAGTTTGACACGTAAATGATAATAAGTGATTTTGTTTTGCATTTCAGATCTCTAAGTGTTTGTTTTTTAAAT